TTTGCTTTTACTAATCATCTCCTACAATACTTTCAGGAATTGTTTTTACAGAATAGTCTGGGTACCACTATTTCAGGCCGTGCTTTCATCAATATTGTTTATATAGATTTAATTTACTCTTAAACTGGGACAGATACCCTCTTCTAATTTCTCTGAATATAAACACAGCCTAAATCTGGTCCTGATTTAAAACGTACCCATCAGCAGACCTAAAACATGCACAGAATTGGTTACTATTCACAGCTTCAGACAAAAGAAAGCAGTTTACAATAACCACTGAATTCCCCTTGCTTGCAGTTTGCTGTCACCACATGCTTTATTTATAGTAGGCCTGAAATAAATACTGCAGGATCAGCCATCTTTTGGTGCTGCACAAAAAAGGAAAGCTATTAAATATTTACTGTAAGTCTCTCATAGCTTCAGCTCTGACACTTTTCATTTCACTAGAGAAAATGATAATTTAGCTCATGATTTTCCAGCAAAAGATAGTCAGTTGTGACCATCTGGAAGTGAATGGTAGCATCACTGGCATGCCCAGGGAGTGGGGGGGCTGTGTCAATGCACACCAGGCACAAAGTCTGCACCTCCCCTGCTCCTCTCCAGCAGCACAGGGTGACACCAAGGCAGGAGTCTTAGAGTGTCACAGGAATGTTTGTGCCAGCAGAATGCGGGGCACTCATGTTACAGCTTTCCAAAACTAAGCCAGTACATTTGGTGAATCCTTTCCAAGGAGGCTGATCAGATTCCTTGAGTTAAGATCAAATGAATGTTGTGGATGCTCCAGTGAAATGTGTTGACAAAAAAAATACTGCACTCTCGTGCACCTCATTTACTGTGAATTTAAAAAAGAAACCCATATGTATGAAATAAAAATAGATTTTACATGCATTTTGTTTTTCACCTGTGAACTGAATACTGTAGGACAGTAAGTTTACAGCCTAGTATCTGGGCGAAAGCTAGCCAGTTAAAGATGAACTTTGGCACAGAACTAAAATGCCTGGGGGCAGCTGTGTAGCTCAAGTAACTGATTAGAAACTGATACTGAAAAATGACTGAGAACTAAACTCCAGGAGGTCACAAAAAGATTAAAAGGAAAGCAGTGCCTTTTTCCACCATGACCCAGATCGTCAGAGTATGATCACAGCCTTCCGTAGCATTGTCTAGCAGAACTAGCACCAATCCCCTCAGTACATCTAGAGTAAGGTATGTTCCTGAGGAACGAGCTGCATCTCTGTAAGTATCTAATGTTTTAGAGTATCAGCCTTGTTTGCCTGAATACTATCACGCCTCATGGAGTTCTACTGGGTAATAGTGCACAGTACCAAAAAAAATGTATTTCCTTCTCCCCTTACTGCTGCTCTCTTCTTCAGCAAAAGAGAATTCACCTCCTCGATGTATTTTGTCTTCTAAAGTGAAGTGAGCAGAGCTGGTCTCGAGTGTCCCATACTTTTCCACACCAGTGGATCACAGACTTCTCTTTCCAGGAATGATCCAAATCCTTTGGCTCCCTGCCACTTGCCTGTCTGCATCCTTTAACTTCCCCAAAGCAGCACAGGGAGGCATGCTGCAGGCTCCGGAGAACTAGGCAGCCAGGCATTGAAAGTAAGTGGCCAGAAAATACAGCGTTTCACTCGAGCCAGTAACAAGTTCTGGTTGCCTGCTCAAACCTCTGGCATAGCTGGCGAGACCTCCATCCTAATTTTGTGGTTTGATATGAAAATGTAGCCTGGGTGAGGTGATAAGAACAAATTCAACAGTGAGTTGAGGGAAGGAAGCTGTCAGAAAAAAACCCTTGACATCCACAAATTCCTGACCCCATAATGGGATATCTACATGACTGAGAATTCCACTCAGCCAGCACGGCACACTAAACACTCACTGAAGAGCTATGTTAGTGTAGCTTGAACAGTGCAGATGGGTGGTACTTGAAGAAAAACTAAGTTTGTATAGCCAGAGAAGTGCAAACTCTCATTGTTTAGGCAGGCAAGTACAAATGAGCATTCTTAATGCCTCCCTGCTGCTATGTTTGATGTCTTGCAATTTGGTATCCTGCACAAGTGCTGACAACATGTACAGCTTTCCTTGACAGCCAAATAAAAAATAACCAGTTCCCCACCCTGAAAAAGAAACCCCACAGGGAACTTAAGTGTGATAATAAAAGTGAGTAGCAGCAAACACTGTCTGATCTGTCAGGTTATAAACAATGCTCATGAAACCTTCATGGCCAGGATCAATAAAAGGAAAGGCCATCGCTCTTGAGAGCCAAGAGCCATTAGAAAAATAAAAAGCTTTCTGTTTCAGAGCGTTTATGTCTAGATTTTACACTCTCCACTGCTTCTTCCATGACCTTCTAGACTAAGCAAGCGAGTTCACTTCTACTTCCAGTGCTGCAACAGCAAACCCAAGCCACAGATTGCCTAGTAAGGCATTTCATGACCTTGAAACATATTCTGTAGAGCCACATGACTACACATAAATGTTCAAGTTCATCAAAATTTAGGGCTTAAGTTTTGCCACCACAACAGTCAATTTCCATTTGAAAGGATTTCAATGTTTCCAAACTTTTATGCATATTAGATAACTGAGTGTGCTCATCTCTACGATCTTTACGGAAACTAGCTTTGTTTTTCCATAGCAGTAGAACAGTCCACTTCAGTTTCATGGTCTTTTATGTTGGGGGTCCCAGAGTTGAACACAGTACTTCAGTACTTTGGCTCTTCATTATCGACATTAAGCTGACTATCTGAATCACATACTACTGTTTTGGAACCAAGAGACAAGGCAAGACTTAAAAAAAAATAAAAAATAAAAGAAACAATAGGTAGAGCAAGAAAGCAATAATGGTACTTCCACTAGAATTATGTGTACAAAGAATAATGTATACCATAATAAAAAATGCTTTAGCACTGAAAATACTTGAAGAAAAACTAAAAATTACTTCAATCATTAAACAATAAACAATCTGTCCTGGATGCTGTAAAACACTTTTTTTTTTTTTTTTTTTAATGTGGCCACTAGAGTTGCCAGTGCTGTAATTGAGAGGTCAGCAAGTACAAAAGCACAACAATTACTCACATCAAATATCCCTGCCAACACTTGATCAAAATTACTATTTTAAGTGATTTTCACCTGTGGTATGTACTAGGATAATCTGGTTTTGTTGGTCACAGGTTTGGGAACCCTTCCTCTATGTGGAGAGGTGGTGGTTGGTTGTCCTAAATGCCAGGCCATAGAGGCAGCCACTGAACTACTCTTCAGGTCCAATATTCAGGAAAAATAACTCCAAATGTGCAACAAGCCAAAGCACAGTAAGAAATGTTTTCTCTCAGTGTAAAAACAGAAGGATCCAACATAAAAGCAGATAGAAAATTTTAAATAAATTATAAGAAAGGATTTTCCTTAACTTTCAAATACAAAATAATCCAGAACAATATGAACCTCCTTTAAAAAGATATCATACATATATTCATAATATCGCTAGTATTCATTAGGACGGAACAAAAAGAAGCTGGAGTGGACCACAGGATGAGAATTCAACTACAGGCATTGAGATAGTGCCCTGTCTTCCCTCAACAACTTTGGAAGACCATTTTCCTCTGGCTTCTGGTATACAGCCCATTTCAGTACATTTAGGATTAGGCTCCTGGTCTCTCTTAAATTTTGGCTGAAAATCTTGACTAAGCACACCAGAAGCACACATGCACATCATATGAGGCGGCAGCAATTATTCCATGCATCTCCTTACCCACCTTGTGTTCATTGAAACAGCTAGACCAGACCCTTTGAGAAAAATATCAAAGATTTTTCTCTGAGAAAATCTGAAATATCTGAAAAATCTGAAGATTTAAATTAAACTCTTTTCCAGGAAAGACATAAATTATACATTTCCAGGAATATCTACACAGTGTTCTCACAGAAGCTAACAAATGTGTTGCAATACTGTTAGCATTTTCCTACTTCGTGTACTCATTTTATCCATTAGCCAGAACACCCACTTAAAGACAAGAGTTAAAAAACCATGGGGGAAATTCAGCCATACATTTTGCTTTAGAGTACCCTGCTCGGTCTTGGAAACAACTGAAGATCTTTCTCCAGTAGGTGTTAGTCTGTTCCTGATACTGCTTAGCTCTACTGCACACCCATGTATGAGATCTTCTGGTATATTCTCAGAAATCGTAATTCCACATTACAACCTGCTTTCTGTGCCAGTCTTTGTCTAGCCTATGTAAAAACTATCTTCTCCACAATGCAATAAATATAGCAGTTACTTTGCTTTATATAATTATGGAACTTTAAATATTAATGCAACTATTACAGAAAATCTCTGTGCAAGGTTATCTAACTTGAGAACACGTTTTCTTGGAAGCAACATTAACCAGGAAAAGGCAAGAGGCCTGATATGTGAAGAAATTCTGCTTTCTCAATGGCAAGACAACTTTTATTACATCTTTATGAGAAAGTCTGCCCTCTCCATCTTCTACTGACTTTCCTTCCTGCAACTCTGGCTACACCTTTCTTACTCTGTCAGCTGTAGAGAGGCCACTTTCAAACTCACAGGTGCCAGACCATTAAGACAAATTCTCAGCCTGCTGTGATTGTTCATCCTGTGAATGACAGATTCCTCCAATGCCCTCATTACACTTGTTACAATGGTAATTGCTAGAAAAGTCATTAATAAATTACCAAAACAAAGCTGTGTGTTGTCCACATGGGAATAAGCAATAGAAACATCACTGTTTGATTTACTTTTTAACAGAGGCTTGAATGGATATGGGATTACATCTGCATTCAATAAGCTAAATTCAACAAGGATACACTCGGCATATCAACCTTACTGATTTCGACAAGAATCAGAGTGGATTTTGGCTTTCCATCTCATATGTGTGCCCTGAACACTTCAAATAAATCTAACAAACAGAGATAAAACACTTATATCCCTTAGTCATAAATTTCATAGGATGCCCTTTGGAATGCAAAGACTTTAACTTATATCAACATACTTCTGAAGAGTGAGGCTCAAGTTGTGGCTGGCTGACTTGATCTTGTTCTGGGCCTCTAAGTGGGTCATGCTGTCAGTGTTGACTCCATCAATGGCTACCACAAGGTCCCCTTGGTTCATCTGTGACTGTGCTGCCTTGCTGCCAGGGGTGATCTGTGTGGGAAAAGGGAAAAAACAAAAAGCCATATCAGTATAAGTCATTCTGTACACAAAGCACTTACAAAGAACTCGCCCACAATTATAGTGAGGGATAGAGCAATAAATACAGTAATAAATACAACACCAGCTGTACCTATTATTGTATGGGTAGAGCAACAAAATTTATGGAAATTAAACAAACTCAAAGTTAACTCACATTTCTGCAAAGGTCCAGGATATCTACTTGTCATTACTTCCATTTTGAGAGTTTAAGACAAATATAGCTGTTCCTTTACCACATATTATCTCCTCCTCAAGGGGATAATTATCACCATTTATATTGCACTGGTATATAGAGACATTACTCAGAAGCAGAAAACTAATGAACCACTATCTAATGCATGATTTTATTGTATTTTTTCTCCTAAAAGCCATTTTTCCCAAATTAATTCATTATATTGAGCGGACAGAAAATTAAGGTGTGTGAAAGGCCTTGGACACGCTTTGCTTCTTTTATAGTGAGCTTTATAGGGAATCATTCCACTTAACCTTACCTACATACAGCTACAGCTCCATTACTAAGACTGATTACTACACACCCAAGATGTTGGACCTGAGGCTCCAAAGACAGACCAGCACTTTTAGAAAAAGAAGACACAATGCTTCAACTACAAACCCAACCGCTGAGACAACAGTTCGGAAACTCTGGTCATTCACTATGGCATCACATTTTGTTAGCTCCAGATACCCTGTGAACTGCATTTTCTCCAAATGGGCAGTATCCTCACCTCAGTTTTACACAGCCCTCTCTGCTTGCATCTGAATGACATTGATACAGTACAGCTACTATGAAACTTGACTCTCTTAGGGAACTCCAACTAAAACAGAAGAGCCTTCACATACAATCAGCCAGACCAATTTTAGTGAGTACATCAGAGTTGCCCGCTGCTTTCAGCACTTAGTACTTAAAGGGTATGGACATAAGCTATAGGTCATCGCTCTTGTTTTTGATACTCACTTCCTTACACTCCTCACTTCTAAGAAAAGCCAAGGATAATCTAAAATACTACAATAAGGGCTCCAGTCAAAAACTCTGTTCCTTTAGCACAGTGAACATAAAAGAAAGATGTGTATGATTATGAGACAATTTTCCCCTGTGAATTCAGCAAGCTTGAAACTGTTAAATTCCTAAGGAAACCAAAACCCGACAAAAATCCAAAAACTTTTCCTCATCAAGTGTGAAGTGAAATTCCTTAACCTGCCTTCCATAATATGACCTCAAACCACTTAAAAACATGTACATACTCAAACCAAAAAAGTCTTCCAAAACAATTCCCTAGACTGTTTGTGCTCTTCCACTGGCAAAGACAAGAAGGGAAAAAAAAATAAATCCTTTCTTACCACCCTGTTAAAGGTGCTCGGTATTGAGGCTGGCAGTCTAACCAACAGTGTAGTCTGACAATGGGAGCTGTCAACTTACTAGAACACAGCACCCTGGATACTCAGACATTCTACTTAGAAATAGAGATTACTTTGAAGTTAGGCACCGTAAATAACATCCCAGAACTGATGTGACTGGGAGAGAGAGCTTTCTATCTTTTCATTAGAGATAAAAGCAACCAGAGTTCTACGTATTCTGAGTGAAGGACCACCACAGATACAACGCACTCGTGTGAAATACAGCTGACTGATAGGGGCAGTGCCATTCCCTAATATATTTTTCTGGCGTTAAGGAACTGAGGGGTAGGGGAAGTGCTTCGTGGTAGTTTCAATGTTGGGGTTTTATTCTGCAGCCTAATGCACCCTCACAGAAAGAGATTAGTAGAAACAAAGGATGCATATTACAAGCATAGTTCTTCTAACCTATTATGAAAACTTAGCTTCTATGCATTTCATTGACTTGCATTATACAAAGTACACAGAATCCAGAACCCTATGAAGAACATGGGTTATTTGCATATCCACTTGTATTTGTGTAATTACTGATGGACCCTTCCCTGCTGAGTCCCCCAGATATGTCAAGAAACCGAATCTGCAATAAAATAAGGGGTCAGGAAATGGCAAAATGTGAACAAAAGCCAAGCTCAGATAAATCAGTCAGTAAGACTTGAATTCATCAAGTAGGACACCTCTGTCTTTCTCAATTTATCCCTTTTCTCTATTAACATAAACTGTTTGCTAGTCAGGCAGACACTAAGGCTTGAACCTCCTTGATAAAGATTTTTTAATCTTCACACATCACTTCTCTAAGACACGACATTTTACCTGATGAAACATGCAAGTTCTTGCCACAGAACGCTACCTGTGTGATGCTGACACTTCCAGCCTCCAGACAGCTGGTTCCAAATGCTGGGAACTCCCCCTTTTGCTCATCAAGAACAAAGACAAGTTTTTGAATCCTGAAAGTCAAATATCTGCCCTAATTTAGGAATTCTTACTTAACACATACATTTCTCCTTCTACTCCGCAGTGATGCTTCAAACAAAATAAGCTCAGAGAAGCAGAGCTTCCACAGCAACGATAAAGAAGTCTAGACCTCCAACTAGTTTAAAATTACTGTAACATACTGACTTCCCATACAGTTTCTCTGACTTCTGTGTTTCACACACCCAAATTTAAATATTATATCTTAAAATAAAGATATAGAGTCAAATTAGAGTCAAATTTAGAGGGAGGGGATGGTTATAACTAGTGACCTGATTTCACTTACTCTAGTGGGATATTTTCTGTCTAACGCTTTTAGAAAACACTACCTAAATGAAAGAATATATTAATCAGAAGAATATATCAAACCCAAAGTCCTGGGTAACTTAGAATTTCTGATTTATATGGATTTCTAACTCTGGCCATTGCAACGCTCTTTCTGAGGCAAAGAGCTACAGGAGAACCATACTGTGAAAGATGAGGAAATGGTCTCAATCATGGCCTACCATACAGTCTTCTTTTATTTGAAAAGGAAATGCAAGGGATTTGTAGCCAACTCTTCAGACAAGTATAATGATAACAAACTCTGGGCTGGATTCCTTCATACAGCTCTACCTTTACAAATCCCATTTCAGGGGCCAGCACTCCACTGATGTCACTTTGCCTCTAAAATTCAGTTTATCCTAGATTCATAGACAGTAAGACTCACAAGTAGAGAAGATGGATCTAGTTTATCGTATCTGTAATTCAGAACCATAATTAATATCAGGAAACAATAACTCCTTTCCCCAGTCTTCCCACGGGCTAAGAGCATGCTACATAGATTATTTGTTTCTGTAGAGCTTTATATAGCAGGCATTATTAAAGTTTTGATGTATAATCTCTATAAAATATCCAAAGCACAAAATTGCACCTATTTTAGTTAGAAGCTAACAGGCTTCTTTGTGAGACTTTCAAGGGAACCCACAGTGTGCATTTACAGCAGACACTGAGAACAGTCAGTAATTGTCAGGGACAAAATACCAGTGTTCGGATGGAGATAGAGGGCAGCCAGATCTGAAGTGTCAAGGCACATTCAAGACTATCTTGTTCCCATTTTTCAAGATCCATCAGAAAGGAATGGAATGCAAAGTGTTTATCTGTTGGTATTTTCCTCTGAAAATTCATCTCTGATATACTAAAAATTTACTAAATATAATCACAGAGAATATCTCACTGTGTCTTTGTGAAATCTTTAGGGATTATTTCCTATTTTAAAAGGTTTTTAAAAATAATTTTTAAATGAAGGGTGAATGTTAATTAACCCTTGGGATTAGACTGCAAATCCAGATCTGTCTACACAGGAAGTTCTAGTTTGCATTTATTTCAGTCTCTCTTCTATTAACAGAAGTATCAGAAATAGAGAAATACAAAACTGTCTAGGCCAAATATGCATTTTTGAATTCAACCACCTATGCGGTTTTTTTTAAAACATCTCAGGCCAAGATCTAGACAGAACTATTTCAGAAAAACTTTGCAGTATCTTAACCCACTTGCTCTGTATTACAACGTAGCTCTCAAACACTAGGTGTTGCAAACGCCTTTCTTTAAGGCTACGGTGAGATGCTTACCAGAGATTCAAGGTATAGCTATTTCTGTCAATTGATTTACAAAAACCCAATCCAGGGTACCACTGACAGATCTAATTTTAATCGTATTTCTTTAGTGCCTCAAGCCCAAGCAGACTTCATCTTGAAAAGCTAAGCATCTTTTCAATGCTCTCAGAAAAGCAGAGGAACACTTGCTGCTTCAGAGATGTGATTTTTCAGCCTTCACAAATTTCCTACAAGGCAGACATCTGACTTCCAATATCCCCAGCTTAAAGCAGGCAGGCAGGCTGGAAGTATCACATGTTGCTTTCAGAGCACTACAGAGAATTCTTACTACGCTCTGTTGTGAGCGGATCTGTATACTGCGTGAACATATAGCACAACAGTGACAGCTGTGCCCTAAAAATTAAGCCTGCACTGGGTTCAGAGTAAATACTACTTAGCAGGAGCTCTGGGAGGCAGCGTACAAAGCGCAGCTGCTGCACCACCTTGAGAACAGCATGTGTTCCCACCCGAGCCCCCTCAGCTACACTCCAAAGGGGTAGAGATAGGGATCAGGCAGCATTTGAGTGGCTGAGTGTTAAAATACTAACGAGAATGCTTGTATAAACAGATGGATGGACACAGCTTTCCCACCCCAAGGAACTCCTAATTTACAAGGCAGACAAAAATATATAGGGAGGCCTATACAACTGAGAAGGTGTTAATACGGTAGCTTGCGGCATTAGCCAGGGCCTCTTCTTTTTCCAGGACTTCAGCTATGCCTGACTCCTTCCTGACCCCAACCCCAAAATCTACAAATTCCATTTTCCACTCTTCATTTAAGAACAATGTTTCAGAGAATCAAGTATTCACTAGCACTAAAAATATACTAAAGTACTGGGAACAAATACCCTCTCCTCTTTGGGATCTCTGGATTAAAAGAAAATATTATAAGAAAGCGTTCCTTTCCATAATCAGAAAAGCTAGAAATCAGAGACAGGACATAAACTATCACTTACC